CACCACGGCTGGGTCAGTGCCACCGTGGTGGGGACAGTGCCACCGTGGTGGGGTCAGTGCCACCATGGTGGGGACAGTGCCACCACGGCTGGGTCAGTGCCACCACGGTGGGGTCAGTGCCACCACGGCTGGGTCAGTGCCACCACGGTGGGGTCAGTGACACCACGGCGGGGTCAGTGACACCACGGCGGGGTCAGTGCCACCATGGTGGGGACAGTGCCACCACGGCGGGGTCAGTGACACCACGGTGGGGTCAGTGCCACCACAGCGGGGACAGTGCCACCACGGCGGGGACAGTGCCACCACGGCGGGGACAGTGCCACCGCGGTGGGGACAGTGCCACCATGGTGGGGACAGTGCCACCGTGGTGGGGACAGTGCCACCGTGGTGGGGACAGTGCCACCATGGCCATGCCCACCCTGAGTCTGTCCACCACCTGCCAGTAGCGCCCTGGGGACAGCGGGGACAGTGCCACGATGGTGGGGACAGTGCCACCACGGCGAGGTCGGTGCCACCATGGCAGGGTCACTGCCACCGCAGTGGGGTCAGTGCCACCACGGTGGGGACAATGCCACCCCAGCGTGGTCAGTGACACCACAATGTGGTCAGTGCCACCATGGTGGGGACAATGCCACCCCAGCGTGGTCGGTGCCACCACGGTGGGGTCAGTGCCACCCCAGCGTGGTCGGTGCCACCTCGGGGAGCCCCGGAGCGGTCTCGGTGCCATCCTCACCCCACGTCCACCAGACGTAGACGAACTTGCCCCGCCTGCCCGCGGGCATGGGCTGCCCGTCCGGAAAGGTCCCGGCGGCGTCCGGCTGCTCGGAGAACACCGGGTCCCCCGGTGCCACCCGCGTGCCTGGGGGACACGCGGCGTGAGGGGACATCGGGGACACCAGGGACACCGAGGGGACATCGGGGACACAAAGGGTGAGGGGACATTGGGGACACCAGGGACACCGAGGGGACACGCGGCGTGAGGGGACATCGGGGACACCAGGGACACCGAGGGGACATCGGGGACACCATGGGGACATCGGGGACACAAAGGGTGAGGGGACATTGGGGACACCGAGGGGACATCGGGGACACCATGGGGACATCGGGGACACAAAGGGTGAGGAGATAATGGGGACACTGAGGGGACATTGGGGACACCGAGGGGACACACGGGGTGAGGGGACATCGGGGACACCAGGGACACCGAGGGGACATCGGGGACACCATGGGGACATCGGGGACACAAAGGGTGAGGGGACACCAGGGACACTGAGGGGACATCGGGGACATCAAGGGGACATCAGGGACACAAAGGGTGAGGGGACAATGGGGACACCGAGGGGACATTGGGGACACCGAGGGGACATTGGGGACACCGAGGGGACATCGGGGATGCCGAGGGGACACACAGGGCGAGGGGACACCAGGGACACTGTGGGGACATCGGGGACACCGAGGGGACCCAGGGTGGGGGGACTCTGGGGACACCGGGGTTTCAGGGGTTGAGGGGGTTTTGGGGGGTTCCAGGGTTTTTGGGGTGGTTTTGGGTGGTTTTGGGGTGGTTTGGGACAGTTTTTGGGGTGGTTTGGGGTGATTTCAGGATGGCTTTGGGGTTTTGGTATGGTTTGGGTTGGTTTTGGTATGGTTTGGGTTGGTTTTGGGGTGGTTTCGGGTTGGTTTTGGTATGGTTTGGGTTGGTTTTGGTATGGTTTGGGTTGGTTTTGGGGTGGTTTCGGGTTGGCTTTGGGGGTAGTCTGGAGTGGTTTGGGGTGGTTTGGGGTGGTTTTAGGGCAGTTTCGCGATGGTTTTGGGGTGGTTTGGGGCAGTTTTGGGGTGGTTTGAGGTGGTTTTGGGCAGTTTCAGGATGGTTTTGTGCTGGTTTTGGGATGGTTTATGGTGCTTTTGGAGTGGTTTGGGGCAATTTTGGGCTGGTTTCAGGGTGGTTTGGGGTGGTTTGGGGTGGTTTCAGGGTGGTTTGGGACAGTTTTGGGGTGGTTTCAGGGTGGTTTGGGACAGTTTGGGGGTGGTTTACGGTGGTTTGGGTCAGTTTTGGGCTGGTTTAGGGAGGTTTTGGGGCGGTTTGGGACAGTTTTGGGGTGGTTTCAGGGTGGTTTGGGTTAGTTTTGGGCTGGTTCAGGGCAGTTTTGGGGCGGTTTGGGACAGTTTTGGGGTGGTTTAGGGAGGTTTTGGGGTGGTTTGGGACAGTTTTGGGGTGGTTTCAGGGTGGTTTGGGACAGTTTGGGGCTGGTTTAGGGTGGTTTGGGTCAGTTTTGGAGTGGTTTAGGGTGGTTTTGGGGCGGTTTGGGACGGTTTTGGGCTGGTTTAGGGAGGTTTTGGGCTGGTTTAGGGAGGTTTTGGGCTGGTTTAGGGAGGTTTTGGGCTGGTTTGGTTCAGTTTTGGGTTGGTTTGGGACAGTTTTGGGTTGGTTTGGGTCAGTTTTGGGGTGGTTTAGGGAGGTTTGGGGTTGGTTTGGGTCAGTTTTGGGGTGGTTTAGAGAGGTTTTGGGCTGGTTTAGGGCGGTTTTGGGGCAGTTGGGGACAGTTTTGGGCTGGTTTAGGGAGGTTTTGGGCTGGTTTGGGTCAGTTTTGGGTTGGTTTGGGTCAGTTTTGGGGCGGCTGGGGGGAATTCGGGTCTCACTGACCGTTGACCGTGCAGTTCTGCCCCCAGACCACGCGGCCGTCGGGCAGGACGCGCTGCGTGCCCGGCAGGCGCAGGGCGATGGAGAAGGTGGCCTGGGCACCCGCCATGGTGGGAGCGTCGTTGCTGATGTCGAAGGTGACATCGCCACCTGCTCGGGGACACCATCGGAGGGTGGCACGGGGGGGTGACACGGCCAGGACCAGGTGGGTGACATGGCCAGGACTGGGTGGGTGACAGGGCCACCATGGGTGAGTGACACAGCCACCATGGGTGGGTGACACGGCCAGGACTGGCTGGGTGACACGGCCAGGACTGGCTGGGTGACACGGCCAGCACGGGGGGGTGACACGGGCAGGACCGGGTGGGTGACACGGCCAGCACCAGGTGGGTGACACGGCCAGCACGGGGGGGTGACACGGCCAGCACCAGGTGGGTGACACGGCCAGGACTGGGTGGGTGACACGGCCAGGACTGGGTGGGTGACAGGGCTAACCCAGGTGGGTGACATGGCCACTCTGAGTGGGTGACACAGCCACCATGGGTGGGTGACACGGCCAGCATGGGGTGGGTGACATGGCCAGCAGGGGTGGGTGACATGGCCAGCACCAGCAGGTGACATGGCCAGGACTGGGTGGGTGACACGGCCACCCCGGGTGGGTGACAGGGCCACGTGGGTGGGTGACACGGCCACCCAGGGTGGGTGACATGGCCACGTGGGAGGGTGACACGGCCACGCGGGTGTGTGACAGGGCCACGCGGGAGGGTGACACGGCCACCCCGGGAGGGTGACACGGCCACCCGGGAGGGTGACATGGCCACGTGGGAGGGTGACACGGCCACCCCGGGAGGGTGACACGGCCACGCGGGAGGGTGACACGGCCACCCGGGTGTGTGACACGGCCACCTGGGTGTGTAACACAGCCACCCGGGTGTGTGACACGGCCAACCCGGGAGGGTGACACGGCCACGCGGGAGGGTGACACGGCCACGCGGGAGGGTGGCACTCACCTCGCCAGCAGTCGCCCGTGCCCGGCTGCCAGGGAGGGAACCGCGCCGTGTCCCAGCCCCGGAACGGCGCCGCCCGCCCGCCCCAGGCCGGGCTGCGCCCGCGGCTCCGGCCGGCGGCTCCTGCGGGACCCCGGAGCCCGGTCAGGCCGGCGGCGGCGCCACGCGTCACCGTGTCCTGGGGGGCTGCGTGTCCCCCCTGTCCCCACTGTTGGGGTTGGCGTGTCCCCCCTGTCCCCCATTTCCGGGGGGCTGCCGGGTCCCACATGTCCCCCCTGTCCCCCACTTTTGGGGTTTGTCGTGTCCCCCCGTCCCCATTTTTGGGGGCTCTCATGTCCCCCCTGTCCCCCACTTTTGGGGATGTCATGTCCCCCCTGTCCCCCATTTTTGGGGGCTCTCATGTCCCCCCTGTCCCCATTCTCAGGGGTTTGTCATGTCCCCCTTGTCCCCCACTTTTGGGGGCTCTCATGTCCCCCCTGTCCCCCACTTTTGGGGTTGTCATGTCCCCCCCATCCCCATTTTTGGGGGCCGTCATGTCCCCACATGTCCTTTGTGCTCAGGGGGATGAAGGGTCCCCCATGTCCCCCATGTCCCCCCTGTCCCCAATGTCCCCCGTGTCCCCCACTCCCAGGACACTGCCAGGTCCCCCTTGTCCCCAACTCACAGGGGTCTGTGAGGTCCCCGTGTCCCCAGTGTCCCCAATGTCCCCCCCAATGTCCCCAATATCCCCCCCAGTGTCCCCAATGTCCCCCTCTACCAGGGGTCTGCCACCCCCACCCCTGGCGTGTCCAGCCTGAGGGGACCCTGGGGTGACCCTGAGAGGACCCGGGGTGACCCTGGGGTGACCATGACGGGACCTGGGGGGACCCAGGGGATACCGGGGGGTACCGGGGATGACCCGGGGGGACCCTGAGGGGACCCGGGGTGACCCTGGGGTGACCATGAAGGGACCCTGGGGTGACCATGAGGTGACCCGGGGGGACCCTGAGGGGACCCGGGTGTGACCGGGGGTGACCGGGGGGGATCGGGGGGATAACGGGGGGTGACCGGGGGTGACCGGGGGGTACCGGGGAGACCCGGGGGGGGGACCCGGGGGCCGCGTGACGGGGCTCGGGTGAGCCACGCGCGGGCAAAGCCATCACATGGCCCCAAAGCCCTTTCATGTGACGCTCAGCTGAGCCGGGCCGGGCCGGGCCGGGACGGGACGGGCACCCCCCGTGAGCCCCCAGGGTCGGGGGGCTGCGGGGAACCCCAGGGTTGGGGGGCTCACGGGGGAAACCAGGGTTGGGGGGCTGCGGGGAACACAGGGTCGGGGGGCTCACAAGGAACCCCAGAGTTGGGGGGCTGCGGGGGAACCCAGGGTTGGGGGGCTACAAAGTCCCCCGTGTCCCCCCAAGGTTGGGGGGCTGCAGAGCCCCCTCTGTCCCCCCAAGTTGGGGGGCTACAAAGTCCCCCGTGTCCCCATTCTCGGGGGGCTGCAGCGTCCCTTCATGTCCCCCCACTGTCCCCACGGGAGATTTTGCAGCCCCCCGAAATTGGGGGGGACACGGGGGATTTTGTAGCCCCCGAACACACGGGGGACCCGGCAGCCCCCCAACATTGGGGTGACCCTGTAGCCCCCCAACATTGGGGGGACACCGGGGACTTTGTAGCCCCCCAACTTTGGGAGACACGGGGGATTCTGCAGCCCCCCAACACTGGTTTGCCGGGTCCCCCCTGTCCCCCCACTCCCAAGACCCCCAAGTCCCCCCCATTTTCGGGGGTCTCTCAGCTTCCCCCTGCCCCCCCATTCTCGGGGGTCTCTCAGCTCTCCCCGTCCCCCCTTCACACGGGGCTGCCACTTCCCCCCCACTCAAAAAACGGGGTCCCCCCCTTGACGGGGAAACCCGGGCTGCGTGCCCCCCATTTCCAGCGGGGTGGAGACCCCCACATCCCACCCCACACCCCAAAACCACCCCCTGGAACCCCAAAACCACCCCCGGGGACCCCAAAACCACCCCCGGGGACCCCAAAACCACCCCCGGAGACCCCCCATAACCTCTCCCAATGGGGATTATCGGGGTACAACCGAACCCCGTGAAGGATTTGCCTTTACGGGGGGGCTCTGCACCCCAAAAACCCCCAAAGAATGGGACTCCGGACACCCCCCACACCCCCAAAAAAACTCATTTATGTCCAAGCCCGAACCCCAATGGGGATTATCGGGGTACAACCGAACTCCGTGACGGATTTTTCTTTAAGGAGAGGCTCTGCACCCCAAAACCCCCAAAATATGAAGCTCCGGGCGCCCCCCGCACCCCAAAAAAATTATGTCACAAACCCGCGAACCCCATGGGGATTATCGGGGTACAACCCAACCCCGTGACGGATTTTTCTTTAAGAGGGGGCTTTGCACCCCAAAATATGAAGCTCCGGACGCCCCCCGCACCCCAAAAAAACCCCACTTACGCCTCTGAGCCTCAGCCAGGAGCAGCAGCACCCCAAAAACCGCGATGGCCCCGAGCCCCCTCATGGTCCCCGCTCGTCTCCCCCCACGCTCGGCACGGCCGGGGCAGAGGCGCCGGGCTCGGGGAGAGCCGCACAAAAAGGGGGCGCTCATTTGCATAGCCACGCCCCCCCCAAAAAGGGGGGGACAGGGGCCGTGACCCCCCCAAATCCGCCCCCAAAATCCCCCCCCCTCCCCTGCCACGTGGGGCCACCCGCGGTCACACGGTGCGAGGGGGGGGGGAGGTTTTGGGGACCCCCCCCAAAACGGCGAGGGGGTTTTGGGGGGACCCCCCCCCAAATTCCGGCACGCGGAGAGCGCGGGGATGGGGTTTGGGGTTTTTGGGGGTCGGGGTTTTGGGGTTTTTGGGGGTCGGGGTTTTGGGGTTTTTGGGGTTTGGGATTTTGTGGTTTGGGATTTTTGGGGGTTTTGGGATTTGGGGTTTTTGGGGGACCCCCCCCAAATTCCGGCACGCGGAGACCCCAGGGATGGGGATTTGGGATTTTTGGGGTTTGGGATTTTTGGGGTTTGGGATTTTTGGGATTTGGGATTTTTGTCGTTTTTGGGGTTTTTGGGATTTGGGACTTTTGCGGTTTGGGGTTTTGGAGTTTTTTGGGTTTGGGAGTTTTGGGGTTTGGGGGGATCATGGGGGTGACAGCCATGGGGGGGGGGTCCCCAATTCTGCACACAGCGGGGGGACCCCCGGTTTGACACTCAGTGAGAGTGGGGGACCCCCAGCCTGGCACGGGAGGGGTGGGGACCCCAATTCCGGGGGGTCACCCGTGGGGGCCCCCGATGACACAGGGGGACCCCAAACCTGGTGGGTGACACAGGGGGGGACCCCAATAATGGACAAAAGGCGGAGGGGTCCCCAGTTCTGCACACGCAGGGGGACCCCGAACCTGGTGGGTGACACGGGGGGACCCCGATTTCAGTGGGTGACACGGGGGGACCCCGATGACACAGGGGGACCCCGAACCTGGTGGGTGACATGAGGGGGGGACCCCAACCATGGAGATAACGGGGAGGGGTCCCCAATTCTGCACACGCAGGGCGACCCCAATCTCGGTGGGTGACACGGGTGGGAACCCCGATTTCAGCGGGTGACACGGGGAGGGACCCCGATGACACAGGGGGACCTCGATCTCGGTGGGTGACACGGGGGGGACCCCGATCCCGGTGGGTGACCCCCATCTTTCCTGCTCCGGCCGTTTCCGTGCCCCCGGGGCTGTCCCGGTGCGTGCGGGCCCGTTCCGGTGGGGCCACGTGTGCGGAGAGCCCCGTGACCCCCGGGAGCCCCGTGACCCCCGGGAGCCCCGTGACCCCCGGGAGCCCCGTGACCCCCGGGAGCCCCGTGACCCCCGTGCGGCCCCCGGGGCTGCTCCCCGTGACCCCCGCGTGTCCGGTTGTGGTCTGGCCGCAGCCCGAGCTGTGGTCCCGGTGTCCGGTCCCGGTGCCCGGTGCCCGGTGCAGGCACTGGCTGAGCAGCCCGGGCAGAGGCTGCGGCGTCCCGGTCCTGACCCCGACCCCATCCTGGTCCCTGTCCTTGTTCCGATCCCATCCTTATCCCGGATCCTGATCCCAAATCCCCGGTCCCGGTCTCAGTCCCGATCTGATTCCCGGTCCTTGGTCCCATTCCCGATTCCGATTCCCGGTCCCGGTCTCGGTCCTTGTCCCTGTTTCAGTTGCTGGTCTCGGTTCCTGATCCCAAACCCGGTCCCTGTCCCTGTCCCGGTCCCAATCCGGTTCCTGGTCCCGGTCCCTGTCCCCATCCCAAACCCGGTCCCTGTCCCTGTCCCCAATGTCCCTGTCCCTGTCCTGTCCCTGTCCCTGTCCCTGTCCCTGTCCCCAAAGTCCCAATCCCAATCCCCTGTCCCTGTCCCCAATGTCCCGATCATGTCCCGGTCCCTGTCCCTGTCCCGGTCCCTGTCCCCGGTCCCTGTCCCTGTCCTTGTCCCTGTCCCTGTCCTGGTCCCAATCCGGTTCCTGGTCCCGGTCCCTGTCCCCATCCCAAACCC